GCGGACCACCCGCGGGGAGCTCGGTCCCCTGGCTTCGCGTCGCGAGCAGCTGCAGAGGTGGGCGCTGGCCACCTGCCGGCGCCCGCCTTCGCCATCACCCGGGCAGAGGAGGCCTGACCCACTTCGAAAACCCGCATCGAAAAGGGATGATTCCAGCGTGCGGCTGGCCGGCCCCTGCTCTGGGAAATGCAAAGACCTGTTAGCGCTGGGGGAGTTAAAACTCGCCCAGACAAATAACCAACCCACCCGTTGGTCGAGCACAGAGGGAACTGTCCCTGTTGTAACCGAACCATAAAAGGTACCGATTGATCAGTCAAATATTTGAGGGACGGACTCCTCTCATTTTATTGTGAGACTACAACCCCCATGCTTTGTACACGATAGGCCGTCAAGAAATACTCGTTGACTTACAAGTCCATGTACAGTAAGGAAACGCTGACGGGGGCTCTGGGTCATCTCAGAATCTTTAGGAAGGCCGGGACGGAAACTGACTCCCAGAGGGCGCCACTAGTTCCTCTTTCACCCCTCGCATTCCAGACCACTCTAAGAGCCATAGTTTAATTGCAACAGAATGAACCCGGGCCCCCTAATTTGGCAAGAGCCAGTCTCCCACAGAAGCAGAATGCAGAATGGTTATTTCAAGTCTTGTGGTTCTTGTCTCCGGCCATAAGCAAATTACTCTCCTCTGTTTACCTGTAAAATGAGATTTTTCTTTTCATTTTTTACTAAGTAAAAACCTCCAACTCTCACATTCTAGGAATGATCTTGGTTCCCCAAATTTTAGCTTCTTTTCAGAGGAGTAAATAAAATTTAGAAGAGTCTTGAAAACAGGGGCCTTCCCTGGGTTTTATAAAGTAGCCGAAAGCCCAGCTGGCGTGGCTCAGCCGTTGAGCATCAACCTGTGACCCAGGAGATGGAGATTCAGTTCCTGGTCAGGGCAGATGCCCAAATTGAGGGCTTAATCCCAGGTAGGGGGCGTGCAGGAGGCAGCCGATCAAGGACTCTCATCACCGGTTTCTCTCTCTCCCTCTCCCTTCCTCTCTCTGAAATTAATAAAGATATATATTAAAAATAAATAAATAAATACTAGCTGGAAAAGATTTAGCATCAGTTTATCATCAGTAGTAGTCTATTTATTTTCTTTTTAAAATCCTCACCTGAGGATATTTTTTCCCATTGCTTTTCAGAGAGAGTGAAAGGGAGAGAGGAGAGACACCTCGATTGGTTGCCTCCTGGAGGCACCCCAACCTGGGCCAGGATGGAGCCTGCAACCCATAGGTGCCCTTGGCCAGGATCGAACCCCGGATCCTTCAGTTGTCCTGCCAACACTCCAACCACTGAGCCAAACCGGCTAGGGCAATAGTAGTCTAGTTCTTGATCTAACACCAAATTACCCAAAGAAATGGTAAAGCCTTTGTAGGAGGAAAAAAATTAAGTATAAAAATGTGTAAATATGCCCCAGCCGGTTTGGCTCAGTGGTTAGAGCATCCACTGAGGACTGAAGTGTCCCAGGCTCCATTCCCACCAAGGGCATTGACCTCCGTTGGGGCACCTGCGGGAGGCAACCAATCCATGTGTCTGTCTCACATCATGTCTCTCTCTCCCTCCCTTCCACTCTCTCTGAAAAGCAATGGAAAAAATATCCTCGGCTAAGGATTTTTTTTTTTTTAAGTGTAACTACAACTGCAGGGGTTCAGAACAAGCTGCCCCAAGATGTGCTACTCTGGCACGCAGGTTATTTGGATCTGAAAGCAAGGCCCAGAAGGCTCAGGAAGAACCTACAGAGGATCCTCAGGGAGAGCTCATCTTAGGTAACTACAGTTTAACCTGAGCTAGATGTAGACAGGGAGTGCAAAGAGGAAAGACCACAGGCCCAGAGTGGCATCGTTCATGCTAAACACCCATAGCAACAAGCCTACCTAGATGTAATGCCTAATCTAACTGCAGTTTTAGCCTCTCCCAGAAACATGACCTTAATCAACCAGGATGGACTTTTCTGGTCAAGCCCCAGGAAGGTCACCTGTCACGTGGTCCCCCATCTGTACGATAAAAACCCTTCCCTTTGTCTTCCCCCGAAAGGAGCGGTGTCCAGCCGCCCTCCGCGTTACACTCTGGCTCTTTCAGCATCAGTTCCCCCAAGGGGGCGGGAGGGTGATCATTTGGGGGCTCTCCTGCCCTTCTCTCCGAGCCGGGGAAGGGGAGACCCGGCAATCAGGCCCTGCCGAGCTGGCTCCAGCGTGAGCTCCACGGGTACAGCCGTCTCCGTTTTCCGAGGCTTTGGGGGGCTGGCACTTTACTAGGCGTCTGGTGCAGCGGCGCCGCGCGGGGTTCCCCACCCCGACCCGGACGCGGCCTCGAGCTCCCCCTGGCGGGCGCCGCTGGGCCTCGCTGGGTCC